TGCATGGCAATCTGGAAACGCCAAAGAATTAACATGTACTGTACCAGGAAATAACCCTAATCAATGACACTTAGGAGTTGCCGTATAAAGAGCCCAACACCCTCAACCCTCCAGTGAGATCATTCTGAGGCGTGTTTTGCACTGCTTTCCAAAGTTTTCACGCGGGCTTAAATTTCAGCTTTGCACTGTAGTTGCTGGCTTAATAGAGCACTCTTTATTGGCTGCCTTCCCTTCCCTGTTAACACACCCCTAACTCCCTTCTCTTCCCAAATAAATTACTTACACTTGTTCCCGGGTCTAAGGGTCTACTTCTGAAAAAACCCAAACTAAGAGAAGTTATGCAATGTTTTTCAACAGTTTCCCTTGTTTGTTGCAACTTGCGGATAGTTTATCTTAAATTTGCTTATGCATGAGACTCTTCATACCTTTCCCTTTGGATTTCATTTTCTAGTCTTCTAAATACAAATGGTGCATAATTTGTTTTGTTTCAGGTGAGAAAGCTCTTGATGTGTTCTTAGAGCTTACACTTTTTATAAACATTTCCACTGCATATGTGCCAGTTATTATTCCTAGTGTTACTAAAATAACTGTAAAATATGTATCCCAAAGTTCCCTAAAGGCTACAAGTTATGTAAACAGAACCCAGCTCCCAGTCTTGTGTAGCCTCAGTGCTTCTTTATGGACATTTTCTAGTTTCTGAGTCATATAGGCCTGACATTCCTTACCAGTGAGAGTACACATCCCTTCTACTAGTTAAGGTCTATAATAATTTGGCAATTGCAGTATTAATTCCTCCTGCTATCCAAGCAAAATCCAGAGCCATGAATTCTGTAGGACTTTAGTTCCAATAGCCACCATCTCCATAGGTATCTGATTTGAAGAAGTTATCAGCAAGATCTTTTAGCTACTGGAATATGGAACCCCATTGATGGTAGTGTTATTCTCCAAATACGTTGTCCTTTTCTTATATAACTGTGGTGGACTCTGCTAGTCTTTCACTAAGTCCCTTTCTTCTTTTGTCCTCAGCACAGAGCTAAGCACACTTCCTAACCCCCCTACCAGTTAAATATTTACATGGCTGACTTCTAGCCAATGGAATATAAGTGGTAGGCACCATGTCCAAGCCTGTCCCACAAAAACCTCCTGTGCAGGCTCCATTCTCCCTCTTCTGGCTGACTGGGATGCAAACCTCCAGGGTGACCTGGGAATCCAGGTGTTAATGATGGCAGGGCTGAAACCAACCTGGTTCCCTGAATGACAGCATAGAGAACTCCAAGTAAAAGGCAGGAATTGGTAGAATTCACTTTTTTTATGATTCAAATATATGCTATCTACAAGACACAAATTAGATTCAAAAACACAAATAGACAAAATTAAAAGGATGGAAAGACATATACCATGCAAACAGTAAACAAAAGAAAGCAGAGTGGCTATACTAATATTTGAGAAATAGTCTTCAAGATAAAAATTATTACTAGAGGGCTTCCCTGGTGGTGCAGTGGTTAAGAATCCTCCTGCCAATGCAGGGGACGCAGGTTCGAGCCTTGGTCTGGGAAGATCCCACATGCCGCAGAGCAACTAAGCCCGTGACCCACAACTGTTGAGCCCGCGTGCCACAACTACTGAGGCCTATGCATCTAGAGTCCACGCTCCACAACAAGAGTGGCCACCGCAATGAGAAGCCCATGACCACAACAAAGAGTAGCTCCCGCTCGCCACAACTAGAGAAGGCCTGCACGTAGCAACGAAGACCTAATGCAGCCAAAAATAAAAACAAAGAAATAAATTTATTTAAAAAAAATTATTACTAGAGACAAAGAATGACATTTTAAAAGGGGTCATTTCATCAAGAAGATATAACAAACATATAAGCACCTAACAACAGAGCCCCAAAATACATGAAGCAAAAAGCAGACTTGAATGGAGACAATTCGACAATAATGGAAACTTCAATACTCCACTTTCAATAATGGACAGACCAACTAGACAGAAAACCAAGGAAATATAAGACTTGCACGACACTATAAACCAACTAGTCCTTACAGAAATCCACAGATCACCCAACAACAGTAGAATGCAGATTTTTCTCAAGTGCACATGGATCATTCTCCAGGAGAGATCATGTTAGGCCATAACACAATTCTCAAAATTTTTAAAGCACTGAAATCATACAAAGTATGTTGAGCGCAATGGAATTAAATTAGAAATCAATAACAGAAGGAAATTTGGGAAATTCCCAAATGTGTGGAAATTAAACAACACACTCCTAAATAACCAACTGGTCAAAGACGAAATCATAAGAGAAATTTTCAAATATTTTGAGATAAATGAAAACAAAATCACAACATACCTAAACTTATGAGATGCAGAAAAAGCAGTGTTTGCAGGGAAATTTATAGTTGTAAATACCTATATTAACGAAAACGAAAATTTTCAAATAAATAAACTAACCTTCCACCTTAAGGAACTAGAAGAGCGAACTAAACCCAAAACAAGCAGGAGGAAATCATAAAGATTACAACAGAAATAAATAGAGAGGAGAAAAACAATAGACAAAATCAAAAACCAAAAGTTGGTTCCTTGAAAAGATTCACAAAATTGACAAACCGTTAGGTATACTGACCAAGAAAAAAGAGAGAATGCTCAAATTATTTGCAATTGGCAAAGAAACTATTTTTTAAAGTCTGTTAGAACTTACAAACATTCAGCAAAGTTACTGGACAAAACAACATGGGAACCGTCAGCATTCTTAAAGAGCAGCGTGAGAGTCCTTTTGCAATAAAGAGCCTATCCACACAGCAACTAAATGCTTAACGTTCCTAAAATTCAGTCCAATAAAAGGCAGGAGAGATTTGTTTAAACTGTGAAATATATCATGCACATAAAACTTATAACAAACTAGAATAATTAAAATTTTAAAAAAACACAAAAAAATAGTCATGTACCCACCACCAAACTTCAGAAATAAAAATATTAGTACCTGTGAGACAGGCTGGGACCTGGGACCCTTTGCTGCAGTGCTTGCACCTGGACAAACATCTCCTAGAGCAGTAAAATACAAAGAAACTATAAGGGACTAAAAATAACTTCGTGCTGCACAGTTGAGGCAAATTATGAACAACAAGATACAAAAAGACCAAAAACCCACCCAGCACCACCAAGGGGGTGGCCGAAGCCAAGCCTCTGGCCTAACCCCTGCATCCACCTACCCTTACCCTCACCCCCATAAAAGGAACCAGCTGGCCACCCCCTCAGAGAGCCAGCAAGAGAAACTGTTACTTGTTTTCACTCCCTCCTGCTGCAGCAGGAGCCCCGGTAAAGCCTTGCCTGAATTTGTCTGCCTCTTATCGATTTCTATTGATTAAGGAGGCCAAGAACCCTGGTCGGTAACACCTGTGAATTTCTCTCGGTGTCCCTCCCCACTGCCTCTACTTGCTCACTTTCCCAAGTAAACTCCATTTTGAATTTCTCATTTATTGTTTTTAGTTACAGTTTTACTATCTACATCTAAAAACAATTAGAAAGAAAACTATAAAACTTTTATAATGTAGTAGAAAACCTTAATAAGTGGATACATACATACATCACATTAATGCAGGAGAAGAATCCATTTTAAAGATTCCAGTTCTTCCCTGAATTAAACTAAGAAGTGATGAATTTCTAAGCAAAATCCCAATAAGATGTTAAGGAAATTCTCAAACTGACTCAAAAATTCACACACAGTGTAAAAGTCCAAGGAGAGCTAAGACAATCTTGAAGAACTAGGAGGGAGGATTCAGCCTCATCCAATGTCAATAAGTCACGTATTAAAGCATTTGATAGTAATTATAGTAAGACGATTTGTATTGGTGCAGATAAGCACATAAATTAACAGGAAAGAACAGACATGGGACTTCCCTGGCGGTCCAGTGGTTGACTCCAGGCTTCCACTACAAGGGGCATGGGCTTCGATCCCTGGTCGGGGAACTAGGACCCTGCATGCCACACAGCTCATAAGAAGAAGAAGAAGAAGGGGAAGGGGAAAGAAAAGAGCAGAAGTCCAGAAACAGACCCAAGCAGAGAGGTGGCATTACAAGGGAGTCTGGAAGACAGTTCCCCTAGAAATTAGAAGCAGGCTGGGCTGAAAGTCTGGGACGTTACAACAGTCGGGTAGGCAGAGGAGCCTGCCAGAGACTTAGACTTAAGACGAAAGGCAAGGGGCGGGGAGAAAGAAATGGAAAGGAGGGAGGCTGGGAGAAGAAGGAAGATGAAAGGGCAGGAGGACAGAGGGAAAGAGAGAAAGGGGGAATGGAAGGAGAAGGTAGCAGGGGAAGAGATGAGGAGGAGAAGGGAAAGAGGGGGGAGGGGAGGAAAGGAAAGAGAGAAGCAGTTAAGAGAAAAGGAGGTGAGGAACGCCAAGAGGGACAAGAGTTCATAACGCAGGGCAGTTTCAGGTTTCCAGCATCAAAAGTTGCACAGCTTTCTAAAATTAAATAGGGACCCAGGGCTTCCCTGGTGGAGCAGTGGTTGAGAATCTGCCGGTTCGAGCCCTGGTCTGGGAGGATCCCACATGCCGCGGAGCAACTGGGCCCGTGAGCCACAACTACTGAGCCTGCGCGTCTGGAGCCTGTGCTCCGCAACAAGAGAGGCCGCAATAGTGAGTGGCCCCCGCTTGCCACAACTAGAGAAAGCCCTCGCACAGAAACGAAGACCCAACACAGCAAAAATAAATTAATAAACTCCTACCCCCAACATCTTCTTTAAAAAAAAAAAAAAGGGACCGAGACACTGATGGTGTAGGTGTGCCTTACCAAGAATTCTTGACTATGACTTCCCTGGTGGCGCAGTGGTTGAGAGTCCGCCTGCCGATGCAGGGGACACGGGCTCGTGCCCCGGTCCGGGAGGATCCCACATGCCGCGGGGCGGCTGGGCCCGTGAGCCATGGCCGCTGAGCCTGCGCGTCCGGAGCCTGTGCTCCGCGACGGGAGAGGCCGCAGCAGTGAGAGGCCCGCGTACCACAAACAAAAAAAAAACAATTCTTGTCTAAAACTTAGAAGTATGAAGCAGCCCTTGTCATTCGTTGGGGACTGACAGCAACAAAGGCCTTGCCGAAACTTAGCATTATGAACCTTCTCACAGGCACGGTCACCACACAAGCATGCCAGTTAAACACAGCCGCGCGAGCGTACACGCTCACGTGCACGCACGCGCACAGAGATACGCACGAGCATGCGCACTCGCTCACGTGTTCACGCGCACAATTGTGCTGTTGCGTTGTTCCAAAGTTTCTGAGAAGCGGCCGCACGGGCTCCGCGGTCCGAGATGCCCAAGCTGCCCGCAGGCAGCAGTGTTCCGCCGACGGGCTGGGCGAATGGCGACCGCGACGTCCCGCAGGCGGAGGTCGGCGGCGGGAGGCGGGAGCCGGCCCCTACGGGGCCTGCGGAGCCCGGGGAAGGTCGGATGACGGACGAGGACAGAGAAGGCCCGGTGGCTGGGCCACGCGGGGACGGGTGTCCCCGAGAGTCGCCCCGGCAGGGGAACGGCCCCGACCCGGCCGAATTCCCACGACCGCAACGCGAGCCCGAAGGCTTCGAGCCTGACTTGGGACAGGCGCAGCCTTGGTTGTGGGGAAGAGGTGCCCAGCGCCCACGGCAGAGGATTAAGAGGGTTTGACGAACCCAGCTGGGTGTGTTACGGATGTGTGTAGAGCAAGGGAAGTAGCCCACGATTCCAGCTGGCAAACGCGTTATCCCAGCGTCTGTCTGATTATACATTTATCAAAGATCTCTTTACATCGGTGGCTCTCAGTCACCTGGCTGCAGAACTCGGGTGCGATGAGCTGAAAGACAGGGAATAGTTTTCACCACCAAAAAAAAAAAGTTAATTATGTGAGGTGATGAAAGTGTTAACTAACCCTATTGTAATTATTTCAAAATATATACATGTATCAAACCATCACATTGTACAACTTAAACTTATACGTTACGTGTCAATTTCATCTCAATAAAGCTGAGGGGAAAACATACCTTTCCTCTAGACTTCTTTCTATTTTAAGATCAGGCTTCTGCAGGACCATGCCTGTGGGCTTCCTAGAAACCCTTTCTTCTAGCTGGGAAGCTCACCTACGCACTGCCTCACATTTTCGAACTTTTAACAAAGGGTCATAAAGCCACACCTTTAATCTGATCTATACTCACAGGCTGTTTTTCACTTTGACAATCTTTTTTTTTTCCACTGGATGTGAAAAAGGCTTTTCTTTCCCAACCTAGCAAGTCATAGTCTCTCTACATTTCCTTTAAATTCTTCTGGAAAGTCAGCCAGTTCCTTCTATCGGTCAACCCTTTCTTGCTACGCTGTATCATACTCATCAGTGAGTAATCAGCAGTATGCCTGGGTATCTCCTTAGCCAAACACTTTCTATTTTCTGTTTCTATTTCTATTTCTGGGTAATCACAGGCGACAGTTTGCCAATTATTTCACTACATCATAATGAGTCATCATTTTTTCTGTTCCAATAACAATTTCCTCACTGTTTTCCCTACGTATCTCAGCCTTTTCTTAGGGCACTACCCAACTCCTGATACCAATTTCTGGAGCAGTTATCTATTGCCATAATAATGTTGCATGGCAAATCACATCAAGCATTTATTTAGTCTATGAGCCTAAAAGTCAGCTGGTGGCTCAGATGGAGCTGACTGATCTTCCCCCCGACCCTGCCACGAGCCAACCACAGGTTGAACCTGGGCCCCGGCAATGAAAGCACTGACTCCTAACCACTGAACCACCAGGGAATTCCCAGGACTGACTAATCTTGAATGCCTTGTCTGAGACCACTTTTCCCAGTCCCAGGTGTCTTCCACCGTCCAGCAAGCTGGTCCAGGATTGTTCTCATGGTCGAGACAGGAGTCCGAGAGAGAGAACGGAAGCATGAAATGCCTCTTGAGGCCCAGTCTCGAAACTGATACACCATCATGTCTGCCACATCCTATCGGTCAAAGCAAGTCACAAGGCCAGTTCCGATTCAAGGGATGGAGAAAAAGAATCTACCTATTGATGAGAAGAGCTACAAACTATTATTACAAAGGGTGTAGGAACAGAGAGGATGGAGAATTGGGGCCACTTTTACAATTAATCTAGCACAGTAACAATCTTGGGAAAAGAGACAAGGCTTGTAACATCATGTTTAGACCTCAACACAGCATTAACTATCTCAGGAGAGAGAAGCAAATCTAGAAAATCCCCTTAGAGAAAGAAGCACCTATATCCACCATTAAGTCAGCTCAAGCCCATCTAGTGAGCAGAACATGTAAGGCCTAGAATAATCAGGGGTAATAAAGAGGCAAGAATGACATCATGATTTCCCCAATTGTCCTAAGCCAGGTTCAGATTCTGAGTTGTGGTTTCAACCCCTATCCATAAAAGTACTGATTTAGGTGAACATGTGTATTTATCCTTTAAAGGAAGTCTTTGTTCCCAGTAAGGATAAATATCCCACCAGTGCTATTTATTACAGGCTTTTGCAGCTTTTGGGAGAAGAAGATCCAGTCCCTTTCCTTATAAACTCTTCACCTCCTCTTTTAAAATGTTAATTGTATGACCATGGGTTTAAATTCTCTATTTTTTCCTGTAAAAATATACCAGCGTGGAGCCCCTGATATCAGCTCGCTTAATTGTTGAGTCTGCACCATGACTAAAACTGTCCTCAGATGATTCTGAAATGCTGGCGGTGAGTCAGAGACAAAGATGCTACAGCCGCTACACAGGAACAGTCTTGGGAGCAATAGCGAACCTGGAATCTATCTCAAATTTTTGCTTTCATCTCCCCACATGAGCACTTCTGTTTAATACACCATAATTTTCTCTAGAGCTATTCTTATCCCTGGATAATGGGAGGGCCTTTCAGCTTCAGCTGGAAGGTGATTTGGGGCCTCAAAAGACAGGACAGATATCTGCCTCCATAGTATTATAGCAAATTACTGCAATTTCTAGTTCCCCCTCTAATAATATGTTATTACACAAGTCTGGGGATTCTTCTATTAAATATTTGTGATTTTCCAGGCAGCCTGAGGGTGGCAGCAATGGACCTTTGGTCTCCAGACTAGCCTGGGAGCTGTTAAGGAGCCACACACTTAGTCATTGCCCAGATGCTGGGGTGAAGCTGTGTTTGAAGCAGCACATAGGCTGGATGTTGTGTTTTATAAATGTGGTGCTTGGACCAGAAAAAAAAAATGCAACCTCGGGGCTTCCCTGGTGGCGCAATGGTTAAGAATCCGCCTGCCAGTGCAGCGGACACGGGTTCGAGCCCTGGTCCAAGCCCTGGTCCGGGAAGATCCCACATGCCATGGAGCAACTAAGCGTGTGAGCCACAACTACCGAGCCTGCGCTCTAGAGCCCGCGAACCACAACTACTGAAGCCCGCACGCCTAGAGCCCGTGTTCCGCAACAAGAGAAGCCACCACAATGAGAAGCCTGCGCACCACGACGAAGAGTAACCCCCACTCGCCGCAACTAAAGAAAGCCTGTGTGCAGCAACGAAGACCCAATTCAGCCATAAATAAATAAATAAATAAATTTATTTTAAAAAGAAAATGCGGGCTTCCCTGGTGGCGCAGTTGTTGAGAGTCCGCCTGCCGATGCAGGGGACACGGGTTCGTAGCCCTGGTCCGGGAAGATCTCACATGCCGCGGAGCGGCTGGGCCCGTGAGCCATGGCCACTGAGCCTGCGCGTCCGGAGCCTGTGCTCCGCAACGGGAGAGGCCACAGCAGTGAGAGGCCCGCGTACCGCAAAAAGAAAAATAATAATGGTAATGGATATGTAACTATCAAGAAAATTAAGTCACCTAGAGGGGTGGGATAGGGAGGGTGGGAGGGAGACGCAAGAGGGAGGAGGTATGGGGATATATATATATATGTATAGCTGACTCACTTTGTTATAAAGCAGAAACTAACACACCATTGTAAAGCAATTATACTCCAATAAAGATGTTAAAAAAAGAAAGAAAGAAAATGAAGTATTTATAACCACAATGAAAAGCATAGGTGAATCTCATAAAAATAATGTTGTGGGAAAGAAACGAGACACAAGCGTATGTAAAATTCAAAAAAACAAGCAAAATTAAACTACAGTATCAGAATGCAGCTCTAGGTAGTAAAACATAAAGAAAAGCAAAGAAATAATTACCATACATATCAGTATAGTAGTTACCTCTGGGTAGAAAGGAGACAATAGTGATAAGAAGAGGGAAAGGATTCTGGGATACTAGAAATATTCAATTCCTTGACCCAGGTGGTGGTTACATGGACATTCACTTTGCGATAAATCATTCAGCCGTATATTTATATTTTGTATATTTTTCCTGCATGCTATATTGTACGAAAAAGATTTAGAAAAAAAATTAATGTCCAAGAATAGCCAAAGCATTTTTTTTAAATAACAAGGGAACGTTATTACAAAGTTTTAGTAATTAAGAGGATTGGTATGGGTGAAGATTGGCAAATGAATAAATGGAGAAGAATAAAGAACCACACCCTACCCCCAAAATAACCCATGAATCTAAACTATCTGGGTATATAATAGAAGTGGCATTATAATCACTAGAGAACAAGAAGGAAGAGGCATCCTAGGATGTAATCTTGGGAAAGCCAACAGGAAGCGATCTTGTGAGACTTCCCTTGTAGACATTAAACTAGCTGAAATGTAAAACAAGGCTCGACTCCGCCCTTAGACATTCTGGGTAACAGGGGAAGGTTTCAGGTGTGTTTGTTGGCTCTTCCGGCCGCTAGGTGGCACCTGGAAGATCGCAGGCGCGTGGGGATGACTCATGCGCAGTGCTCTTAGGTTCAGCCACAGGCCCTACGCTCGTGCACGTGGGTTTGCCCACAGCGTTGACCCGTGTGCACAGCGCTCACGCACGCGCATTTACTTGCAAACCGCTGATCGCGCTGTAGCGTTATTCCCGTTTTTCTGAGAGCGGCCGAGCTGACCCCGCGGTCCGGGATGTCCGAGCTGCCTGCAGACAGCAGTGTGCCACCGAAGGGCGCGGCGAATGACAACGGCGACGTCCCGCAGGCGGAGGTAGGCGGCGGGAGGCGGGAGCCGGCCCCAGCGCAGCCTGTGGAGGCCAGGGACCGTCCGATGGCGGCGGCCAGGGAAGGTCCAGTGGCGGATGCCAGGGAAGGTCCGATGGCGGCGGCCAGGGAAGCCCGGATTGCAGAGGTTGCCCGATTGTTGGCGGAGCCAGCAGAGGAAGAGGGTCCTGAGGGCAGACGCCGGTCCAGGCCCGGGAACAGCCCCGGCCTGGCTGCGTTGCCGAATCTCCGCCTCCGTCACCCACTTGGCGTTTTAGGAATTAATTATCAGCAGCTCCTCCGCCACTATCTGGAACACTACCCGATTGCTCCCGGCAGAATTCAGGAGCTTGAAGGACGCCGCAGGAGATTTGTGGAAGCCTGCAGAGCAAGGGAAGCAGCGTTTGATGCCGAATATCAGCGGAATCCTCAGAGGATGGATTTTGATATTTTAACATTTAGTATAACTCTGACTGCATCTGAAATTATCAATCCTCTGATAGAAGAACTTGGTTGTGATAAGTTTATCGGTAGAGAATAATTTAGTGATGAAACTACTTCAAGAACCTCTGCGTCCAGTACAGTCATACCAATCCTGTAACTTGATTTTAAAAAGTCAAAGTATTTGAGAATAAGGCAAGGCACAGTTGAAAAAGAAAAGGAAGCTTATCAAGAAAAACCATCAGAAAAGAAATAGAAGAAAATAAAAAACGTTATGACTCCTCTAACGTCCTTTGAGTTTGTGATTGATCCAGATTGTTTTCCCTGCATTGTGGAAATGTCTTTTAGAATTGCTTCACTAAAGTGAAGAATGGTTTTACATAATGGAGACTTGATGAAGAAAAACTGCCAATAGAGCCCATAGTGTAAGATTGATTTTGTGTTTTCTGAGGCATTTCAAATGAAAGGCAAAGTAAATACTGTATATATTACATGATAAATTATGTATTCAAGACTATCGGAAATTTCTGGATTTTTTCTTTCATTCAATTTTTAATACTTTTTTGGTAAATAATCTATTTATAAGCCCCCAAAATATAAAGTGTGCAATGAAAAGTCTTCTATCCCTTGCCCCCCGCCCACCCAGTACCTACCACAATTCCCATCTGTAACCACAGTACCTCTTCTGTCTTTTCAGTTTCCCTATGTATACACAAGCAAATACAAATCTGGGTGGGTTTTTTTTTTCATTTCTTCACAAAAGTTGGCAAATTATATTTATTGATTTATGCATTGCATTTTCAGTAAGAACTTATCTTAAAGATCCTTCCAAACCACTACATTTCCTCATTCTTTTTTAGAGCTGCATTTTATTCCATTCTGTGGTTATGTTGTAATTTACTTAACCAGGAACATACTGATGGGCATTTAGGTTTTTTCCCATCATTTTCTATTGGCCAAAAAAGTTCCTATAATAGTTAATCTTGTCTGTATATCCCATGGCATGGGCACAAATACAGTATTGCTCTGATTCTAAATGCACTTTTCATATATTGACGTCTCTGAAATTGGGGTGTGTCTTACATTTGATGGTGTAATACAGCATTTTCATAAAAATAATAGTGCATACTATAATCAGCAGCTTCTTAGATTCCTTGTTATGTATAATATCTTAGTACGACTTTCCAGAGGTGAGAATTCTGAGGTGAATGCACTCATGTGAAAGTTTAGAGATATTACTAAGTTGCCTTCCATTCATGTTGTACCTCTTCACACTCCCACCAGCAACTGCTGAACATGGACATTTCCCCTGCAGCCTCACCAGCACAGTAAGTCATCAAGTGTCTGGATTTTGCCAGTCTATATAGTTGGAAAATGGTATATCAGTTTTAATTTGCTTTTCTCTCATTATGAGGGAAGTTAAATATCTTTTCATTTGAGTCATACATATTCCCTTTTCCATGAACTATCTATTCAAACTCTTTTCTCCATTTCTTTCCTGAATAATTTTGTCCTTTCTTTATTGACTCTGTTAACTATTAATGAAATAGTGAGATGAGCTATGATAATAGCTTGTAATGTGAGTTATGGATAGTTTTTCCTAGGTTGTCATTTGTCTTTGGTTTTCCTGAAAGCCTTTTGGCATGGAGATTTTTGCTCTTGTTTCCTTTTATCTTTTAAACCTGCAAGATTTGGGGAATTCCTCGGTGGTCCAGTGATTAGGACTCAGTGCTTTCACTGCCGGGGCACGGGTTTGATCCCTGGTCGGGGAACTGAGATTCTGCAAGCCGTGCAGCGTGGCCAAAAAAAAAAAAAAAAAGAGAGAGAGAAAAAACCTGCAAGATTTCGAAACTCGAGGGCTCCCCTGGTGGCGCAGTGGTTGAGAGTCCGCCTGCCAATGCAGGGGACACGTGTTCGTGCCCCGGTCTGGGAAGAGTCCCACATGCCGTGGAGCAGCTGGGCCTGTGAGCCACGGCTGCTGGGACGCAAAAAAAAAAAAAAAAAAAAAAAAAAAAGATTTCGAAACTCGAGGTTTTCTCGGTGTGTGTGCATGTGTATGTATGTGTGTGGTTTTATTGTTCATATTTGAATTTTTGAACCATTCGGAATTTATCCCGATGTACAATATGAGGTAAGGATCCAAATTCTCTTTTTCAGGTGGCTACCTGGCTGCCCCAACACCAGATACTAACTAGCCCATCTTTTCCCCACTAACTTTGTTTAAAGATGCCTCTTCATCATACACTAAACTTTTTAAAGTTTTCTAACTAGTTTTACAGGTAATAATGCTAAAACCTCTCATTATACTTCATTTTCAGAGTGTTCTGGCTATCTTTGTTTATTTATATTACTACGTCAACCTCAAAGTCAGCTTACCTTATTTCAAAGTTCTTTATTAGAATCACATTATATTTAATAAATCGAAGATAACTGCCATCACTAAGATATCCAAATTATTTATTTTTCCATTTTTTAAAGGCTTCCTTTGTATCCTTCAGAAGAGTATTAATGTTTGTCCTTAAATTAGTGTTCCTAAAGTAGGTCTTTTACAGGTCTAATCATTTATTCCTAGACATTTTATCTTTTATGTTTTTTCTATAGTAAAGGAGGATTATCGCTGTTATATTTTCTAAAAGCTTGCCTATGTATTTGAAAATAATTCATTTCTGCATATTTATTTGATAGCCTGTTAACATACTGAATTCTCTTACTGTTTTACAGTAGTTTTTCATTTGAATCTCCTAGATTGGGGAACAAGTCATATGCAAATAGTGACAGTATTGCCTCTTTTATAATGTTTATACTTCTGACTTCTTTCTCTTTATTTATACATTAGACAGAAGGTACTTTATTGGTACCTTCTTTCTAATGTAAAATAATATGAATGATAGTGAAGCATCATTAACTTGTCCTAATTTTGTAGAAATTCTTCACATATCCATCTCTCACTATTTGTACATGTGTGTGTTTTATCTAGAGTGGTTACAGAATTTTGTCAAAGGCCTTTTCATAATCCATGAAGGTATTATTTTTATATCCACCACCATGATTGCATTCTTCAAATGATCCTTATTTACAAATGAGATATAATCCTTTTTTTTTTTTGCCTCGCCAAGTGACTTGCAGGATCTTGGTTCCCCGACCAGGGGTCGAACCTGGGCCCGGCAGTGAAAGCGCCAAGTCCTAACCACTGGACCGCCAGGGAATTCCCTTGGCCACTTCTTAGATCCCAGTTCTATGAGACCTCCATGCGCATGAACTAAATTTTGTTTCTTTTTCTCCTGTTAATCTGTCTTGTGTCAATTTTATTATTAGTCCAGCCACAAGACCTCAAGATGGGTCCAAGGGAAAATTTCCCCCTCCCTGACAGTTCCTTCATACGTTTCCAATCAAATCCACTCACACGACCGACCCCTTCACTTTGGTAGACTTGAGTGAAAATCTGGTGGGTCGCAGGGCTGGGGTCATCCCTTGAAGGACAAGCCTCCCCACCTGGCTGGTTCCTTTCAACTTCTCCCCTTCCCTCCTCTTCACCTTTCATCTCAGGAGCAAACTCAAGTCCTCTTCTTGTCTCTCAAAGCATTTTAAGGAGCCACTTCTCTTGCTTGAACAGTTTCAGCTGCAGTGTCAGCACGTACAGTGGCTTCTTCCCCAGAGTTTAGCCAAACTCCCCAGGTCAGGGACACAGTCCTCTGTTACAGACACCATAGCTCTAAGTTCAGGGGTCCCCAGGCCACTCCCACGTCTGACCAGCAGGCTACAAGTTTGAGGATTCCCAGTTCCCATGCAGTTTCAATAATTTGCTAAAAAAAAGACTCACAGAACTCAAGAAAGCATTACAGTTATGGTTACAATTTCATGATAGCAAAGGATACAAATCATAACCAGTTAAAGGGAAAGACGAGTAGGACCAAGTCTGGGAGAGTCCCAAACATGATATTACTGCCATCCTCAGGGATGCATCATCCTCCGGCACGTGCAGAGCATTTACCAACCAGGGACGCTCAACGAGCCCTGAAGTTAGGCCGAAATCGCGAGGCTTAAACCCTCTAAGACTCCCAGGGATGGCCCAAGGGGTTCCCCACACACACCAGTAACAAAGACACTCCTATTGTAATGGGGATGGGGCGGCCGTTACTGCGCGACAGTTACCGGGCAACCGTTGCTCTGTAACGAACAGGTCCCTCGCATAGCTGCCTCTGGCGCTACAGTTACCAGGCAACCGTTACCGGGAGACCGCTAATGCGGGACCGTTAGAGCGAGACCGCTAGCCTGGCCGGTTAGAGGGCCCCTTCTGCCAGTCAGGCGGTTGGTGGTTCTCTGGGGAAAAGTGAGGTAAGAGGCGGATCCCGGCCTTCTCCCGGGTGCCCTCCAGGCACTCTGGCCTTGGGCCAGCAGGTGAGCTGGGGGGCTGGGGATAGGCTGGGGGCTGTGTCCTGCAGGGCTCCAGAGCCCTCGCCAAGGCCCCCCACTGGCCGGGCCCAGGCCTTGAGGCTGCGGTGAACCTCGCGACCTAATGGCAGCGGCAGTCTGCGTGGGACGCAGTTTGCGGGACCTGGCCCCCGCCGTTTGGGCGGCCTGAGGAGCCTGAGGGCCGGCTGGGTCCTAGGCGTCTGGCTCCCTCAGTGATGACAGCTGTGCAGGGTCTGGGGACCTGGTCCTGAGGGCACTGCCAGCTGGGATCTGCCTCTTCAGCCGGGAGGACCCAGACTGGGTGCCGGACGAACGCTCCTGGGCAGGGTAACTGGCCCCCGCAGGGTCCCCCTCCTCTTAGCCAGGACCTGGACCTCGGAGGGTGAAAGTTGAGCCTTAGAACTTTGCCCTTTCTTGTCAGAACAGAGAATAACATTTGTTGGGTGGAGATTTACAGGAACATCATTACCTGACCGTGACCTGACCTCAAGGACAAAGGATCTGACACCAAGAAATTTACAACTGACCACGCCCCTCCCTCACCATTGCTATAAAAGGGCTTTGCTGAAAGCTTTCAGGGAGTTTAGGGTTTTTCAGGCATGAACCACCCATCTCCTTGCATGGCCCTGCGATAAACCTTTCTCTGCTCCAAACTCGGACGTTTTGGTATCGTTTGGCCTCACTGTGCGTCGGGCACACAGACTTGCATTCGGTAACACTATCGCTGGAAATTCCAAAGATTTGGAATTTGGAATTTGGTTACCTTCTGGGAATTAGGGACAAAGTCCAATCAAATTAACATGATGGTTCTTCCAAACCAATACTGGCCTCTCTTTACGAATTCTGGGGGAAATTAGTCTCTGTCCCCTAATACTGATGTTCCAGTTATCTCTTGCTGTGTAACTAACCACCCTAAAACTTAATGGCTTTAAGCAACAACCATTTTATCACTGCTCACTCTTCTGTAGGTTGACCGAAATCAGCTCAGCAGTTCTGCTCCACGTGATGGTGGCCAGGAGCTCAGCTGGGCTGGAATGTCCTGGACGGGTCACTCACGTGCCTGTCATATTGGTGGGAAAAGGCTGGGCCTCTCCCTGTATGCAG